GTAGCAAGGTACCAATACTGGTTCCCATCACAGCCTGTTATTCATTCTTTTTGTGGGCAGTCATGGGGCTTGAACTCAGGGCCTGGTCTCACTCAGTCTCTGAGCTCTTTTGTTCAAGGCTAGAGTAATCTAAACTTTGAGTCAGTGGATAATTAGAGATAAGAGTCGCACTTTTCTGCCCAGGCTGGCTTTGGACCATGATTCTCAGATGTCAGTGTCCTGAGTAGCTAGGATTACAAATGTGCCCCACCATTCTTCCTTTTCTTTTTTTTTAAAATGTAGCTATTGGTACCAATAGCTATGTTACACATATATGCATTTTTTAGAGTGGCTAATGACCTTATACTTCATAAATGTACCAAATCTTGAATAAATGAGTGCACAACAAATGAGTACAAACATCACCGCAGGATTCCACTCTACCTTCCCAACAGTCCCATGAGTTAAGACTGTTCCCCTAATCCTTGCTTTACAGGTGAGGCCAAGTGGTTCCTATCCAAGCTTATACTGTAACAAAGCACCAGGCTCTTATGCCCAAGACTGGAGCTCTACCACTGGAGCCACAACTCCACTTCTAGCTTTTTGTGGTTAACTGGAGGTAGGGTAATTTGTGGTTAATTGGCTTTGTTGAACAATGATCTCAGGCTCAGGCTCCTGAATATCTAGTATTACAGGTATGAGCACTAGCACCCAATTTTAAAACTTTTTCTTTTTGAACTCAGGGCTTCAAGCTCTCACTTAGCTCTTGCTCAGCTCAAGCTGGTGAACTATCACCTCCAGTCCTTCAGTACTTTTATATGCACTTTTATATGAAAAAAAAAACAAAGTGCTCAAGCCTGACGCTGGTGGCTCATACCTGTCATCTCAGCTACTCAGGAGCCTGAGATCTGAGGATTGCAGTTCAAAGACAGCCCAAGCAGGAAAGTCTGTGAGCCTCTTATCTCCACTAAACTAAAAAGAAAAGGAAAGAAAACAACAACAAAAAAAAAAGCTGGAAGTACAGCTGTGGCTCAAGGAGAGCACTAGCCTTGAACAAGAAGTCCAATGGCTCAATGGCAGTGTCCAGGCCCTGAGTTCAAGCCCCAAAACCAGCACTAAAACAAAATGTTTTGAGTTCAGCTTGGCCTATAATTTGAGACCCTGTCTCAAAGAATTACAAACTAACCACAGACTTCTAAGAAAACACCTTTAGCTGGAAGGTCATAGAGGGACTGGAATGTAACCCTGAACAAAACAAACAAGTCGGGGCTGGGAAGGTGGCTCAGTGGTAGAGCGCTTGCCTTGCATGCATGCATGAGGCCCTGGGTTCGATTCCTCAGCACCACATAAGTAAAAAGAAAAAAGCCAGAAGTGGCTCTGTGGCTCAAGTGGTAGAGTGCTGCTGGCCTTGAGCTGAAGAGCTGAGGGACAGCGCCCAGGCCCAGAGTTCAGGCCCCATGACCGGACCCAAAACCAAAACAAAACAAATAAAAAAACAAACAAGTCTCAGTCTTAAGGATTTCATCTTTGAGCAGCCCAACAGGACACCATGATAACTCAGCAAATAGGCATTAACTGTTCCAAAAAGGATATAAGAAAAGGCAAGGTTTGGGGCTGGGAATGTGGCTTAGTAACAGAGTGCTTGCAGGCATGAAGCCCTGGGTTCCTCAGTACTACATACACAGAAAAAGCCAGAAGGGGTGCTGTGGCTCACTCGGTAGAGCGCTAGCCAGCCTTGAGCAAAAGAAGCTCAGGGACAGTGCCTAGCCTTGAGTTTGAGCCCCATGAGTGGCACAAAAAAAAAAAAAAAAGGCCAGGTTCCACTATTACACTGTTGGGACAGGAGCATCACCTGAGCCAAGAGTTAAAGTAGAAAGGACGTCTCCTGCAAGATTTCCAATCTGCTGCCTGAGCTACATTATAAAAATTTCTAGTGGGACTGGGAAGGTGGCTCAGTGGTAGAGCACTTGCCTTGTATGCATGAGGCCCTGGGTTCAATTCCTCAGCACCACAGAAGCAGAAAAAGCCGGAAGCGGTGCTGTGGCAAGTGGTAGAGCACTAGCCTTGAGCTGAAGAGCTCAGGGACAGCGCCCAGACCCAGAGTTCAAGCCCCACAATCAACAATAACAGCAACAACAAAAATCTCATGTATATTACAATAGCATATACATAATAGCATCCAGTTTGGACCAGTTATACACACAAACAGATCTTGCTCACTCTTGACCTATCCAAGTGCAAGTTTAATCACTTGAGTTTAAAGAGCAGGTAAGGAAGGATGTAGCTCTTGGTTAGTCTTCAGCACTGTATAAGTCACTTAGCTGCACCCAGAGCCTTCTTGGTCACCACAAAGGACCTGGGAGTTCTAAGGACTACGGCCACACTGCAGTTGCCGGTGTCCCCCATCATCATTCACACTCCATACACCCCGACTTCCTTCCTGTGGGTCCTCTCGCACACCAAATTACCACACTAACCATCACAAAATGGAGGAGAGGGGATGACAAATCTGAATCCTAACAGACCAAATAGTGAATGGCATAAGGCCTATGAATTCAAGGTCAACTGGCATACAGATGAGACCCTGTCTCACAAACAAGCAAACAAAATTCCCAAGTTATGAAGCAACGACCACAGAAGACTTTGACTTCCAATAAAATGTTTAGGGCAGTGATAAAGTGAGTGGGTAGCAAAGAACCAGGAAAACACTGGCTATCTTTTTAGGCACACACACAAAAATCTTCACTACGCTGAGTGCTGGTGCTCATGCCTGTAATCCTAGCTACTCAGGAGGCTGAGATCTGAAGGTCTTGGATCAAAAATCCAGCCCAGGCAGGGAAGTCCACGGGGTTCCAATTAAAACACCAAAAAGTTGGAAGCAGAGCTGTGATTGCCCCCACAAAACCAAACAACTCTCACTACATGCTGTCTTCCAAGAACTACTATTTTGTCAGTAGACCCTGGGTACCCACAGGTGTGTGGTTCCCAGGAGCTAGGTGGTTGTCCGGTGCTCAGCTCCATCTCCACCAACTTCTGCTAGACACCTGGGACTCTCAAATTCTCACTTCATCTAAACACATTAACTTTTATCTAGTACTTGGGTAGGCAAACACTCAGAAGATCACACAATTTAAACACAACTGACAGCAACTCAGGATTAAGAGTTACTGCACCCTAAATGCTTTTGAGATTTTTTTTGGGGGGGGTAGGGGGCTGGCTGTGGGGCTTAAACTCAGGGCCTGGGGGAGCTCTTTTGCTCCAGCCACAGCTCTACTTCCGTAAGTCTCATGGGGACTTTTCTGCCTGGGCTGGCTTCAAACCATGATCCTCGGACCAGGCGTGAGCCACCAGCATCTGGTGAAATTTGATTGTTTTTTTCTTTTTTCGTTTCCAACTTGAGGGACCTGGGCACTGTCCTTGAGCTTCTTTTGCTCAAGGTTAGTATTCTATCACTTGAGCCACAAGCATCACTTCCAGCCTTTTCTGTGTATGTGACACTGAGGAATCAAACCCATGGCTTCATATGCATGCTAGGCAAGCACTCTACCACTAAGCTACCTTCTCAGCCCTAAATGATTTCTTTTTTTAAACTGAAGTTGGTAAAAACCAAGAGAAACAAATCAGGGAATAAAAATAGGATTCAGAGGACCCCCACCATCTACTTCCTTCGGCTTGGGGGTGTCAGCTACTAAGTTTGTTAACAATGAAGCCACTTGTTTGGTAAGCAATGTTTGTAGTCTGATTTTTCACAATTAGTAACAGAATCTTGCTGCTATCAGTTGCTTCAAAGCCAGCCCAGCTAGGAACATAGGCTGTCTTCATCTTCTTTCTCACCATACTTCTTGGCCTTCAACTTGCGATCCTAGTATCTTGGCTTCCAGAGTGCTGGGATTATAAGCGTGTGTCACCACTCAGCCTTCGACACTAAGTGAAATGAGCACACTCAACCAAATTGCTGGCTCCTAACTACTCAAGAGGATGAGCTCTGAGGATTATGGTTCAAAGCCAGCCGAGGCAGGAAAGTCTGTGAGACTCTTGAGCTATGGCTCAAGTGGTAGCTGGCTTCAAACAGTACTCATCAGATCTCGACTTTCTTGCTCTTCAGCTCAAGGCTTAGCGCTCTACCACTTGAGCTACAGCGCCACTTCCGGTTTTCTGGTGGTTTATTGGAGATAGGAGTCTCACGGTCTCTCCTGCCCGGGGTTGCTTTGAACCGAGATCCTCAGATCTCAGCCTCCTGAGTAGCTAGGATTACAGGCGTGAGCCACCAGCGCCCAGCCAGATCTCGACTTTCTTAGTAGTTAAGATCATAGAATTTATTCTTATTCTTGATGATTTGGAAGTCCACTTCAAAACTAAACATTTTAAATTTAAAATATATATATTTTTTTGTTCCGGTTGTGGGGCCTGAACTCTGGGCCTGGGCGCTGTCCCTCAGCTCTTCAGCTCAAGGCTAGCACTCTACCACTTGAGCCACAGCGCCACTTCCGGCTTTTTTTCTTATCTGGTGCTGAGAAATCGAACTCAGGGCCTCGAGCATGTAAGGCAAGTGCTCTACCACTGAGCCACCTTCCCAGCCCCTAAAATATACTTTCAAAACACCTTGAAGTTATTGCAATAGCTAGCTGGTCATAGTGGCGTGTGACTGTCCTTCCAGCTACACAGGAGTCTCAGATTGAGCAGAATGAAGTTCTAGGATAGTGGACAGTCCTGAAAAAAAAAGCCATGAGACTCCATCTCAACAGAAAGTGGGTATGGTGGTGTGTGTCTGTCATCTCAGCTAGAGTGGGAAATGCAAAATACAAGGATCACTGAGCAGGTCCTGGCACAAAGAAAAACCCTATCTCAAGATAACCAGTGCAAAAAGGATGGGAGGAATGGCTCAGTGGTAGAGTGCCTGACAAGCACACACTAGGCCTTGGGTTCAAAACCCCAGTGCCACCAAAATAAACAAATAAATAATCCAAAATTCTGGCCCCTGATGCCACAGGGTACAGAAGTGAGCATGCCATCCAGTATCCTTACCTCTTGGGCAGATGAGCAAAGGGGTCCTTGGCCTTGGGCTCAGAAGCCAGTGCCTGCTCGCACTCGTCCATCTCCTCCTCTGGAGCTGAGGCAGCTGCCTTTTTTTCCTCTTTTCGCTCAGAAGCTTTTTCCTTCTGCTTCTCTTCCCTTGAACCCTTCTCTTTCCGTGGGGTATCTTTTTTAGGCTGGCTCTCTGCAAACTTCTTAGCTAAGGGAGAGAATAAGGAAAGGAGAAAAATGTCCTGTTTCCAGATTCCTCCAAGCAGAAATCAGCGTTAATAATAAAAAAGGACCCTCCTCCACGGTATAACCCCTGCTTTCACTGTATTTGATGTTGTTATAATTTGTGGAGGGGAAAAACAAATCGTTTAAATAGGGATACAGGTGGACCATTGCAACAATGAGAAGTACAAGTCCTTATGTCGAAAACGAACTTTACAACTTTGGTGGGGGGGGAGGGTTGGGGGAGGATGGGATGGGAAGGGGAAACAAAGGAGGCGGCTACAATGCTTGATAAGAAATGTACTCATTATCTTGCCCATGTAATTGTAACCCCTCTGTACAGTATTTTCACAATAAAAAATAATAATAAAAGGAAAATGGATGGATGGGAGTATAAACCACGCTGCACTGTCCATGATGAAGCAAGGAGATGCCTTTGGAAATAAAACCAGACAACCCTGCGTTTTACTGCAATTTCACATGATGCAGGGTTCCCATAACCCAAAGACTGGATAAGAAAACAAGGAACTTACCATCAAACTGGGCCATCTTCTCACACAGTTTCACCTCCCCCAAGACAGCCCGGAACTGGGGCTGGTTAATGCAGGTGAGGAACCAGCGGTTGGTATTGGGGAAAGCCTGGCGGAAAGAAGGCTCCAAAACCTGTCAAGATAGGTGGAGTTAAAGTGAGCACAGGAAAAGCAGAACCCAGGAGACTCTCTTAGCTCTCTCCCTACCATCTCTAGGCTGCCCTTCCTCTAATATCCTAGACAGCTGCATCTGATGGCATTTACTGCTCCCCATATAGACCACTTCTGTATTTCTTGCTTGCTTTACTTTTTGGACAGGGTCTCACTACACTACCTACTCAAGCTGACCTCCAATTCATGATCTTCCTGCCTGAGCCTCCCAAGTGCTGGAAACATACCTTAAAAAAACTCTTTATATATATAAAAAACTTCTTTATAGTCCAGTCTAATGTAAGAGCTTCCTGTCCCTATCTTCCATTTAGAAAAACTGTATCTTGCTCCTAAAATCTTACGTTGTTACCAATCTTTTAAATTTCACCTGCTAGGGCTGGGAAGGTGGCTCAATGGTAGAGCGCGTGCCTTGCATGCTCAAGGCCCTGGGTTCGATTCCTCAGCACCACATAAGCAAAAAGAAAAAAGCCGGAAGTGGCGCTGTGGCTCAAGTGGTAGAGCGCTAAGCCTTGAGCTGAAGAGCTGAGGGACAGCGCCCAGGCCCAGAGTTCAGGCCCCACGACTGGACCCAAAAAAAATAAAAAATAAAAAAATAAACAATTTCACCTGCTAATAAGCCTTCTTTTGACACTATTCCTTCGAAGGCAGAGATCATGGTTCAAGGTCACCCTGGGCAAAAACAAAACAAACAAAACAAAAACTAATCTCTACAAACAAGCTGTGCTTACTAATCCCAAGTACTGGAGAGTCACAGGGAGGATCACAGTTCACAACCAGCCAAACAGCACAAGATCCTATAAAAAAAAAAAAGCTGGGGGGCAAGAATCAAGTGGTTTTGAGGTAGCTGCCTACCAAGCCAAGACCTTGAGTTCAAACCCTCACACACAAAAAAGCGAAGGACAAGAGGCTGCAACAGAGCTAGTCATTAGAGGCCTGCACCCTAGCCCAGTGACAGTATGCTTGAAGCCTTGGATTCTACTAACACCACCTCTCTCTCTCCCCAAAGTGCCTTACGAACACTTTTTTTTTTTTTTTGAAGCTAGGCACTACTGGCTCACACCTTAAATCCTACATACTCTGGAGGTTAAGGTTTGAAAGATCCACCTGCAGAATAAGCAGCAAAAAAGTACAACTGGAGATATGATTGAAATGGTAGAAGGCCGCCCTAACCAAGTACAAGGCCCGGAGTTCAAATCCCAGTACTGCCAATAAAATACTACTTACTTGCTAAGAAGGCTCTAGCTATCTCTGCACTTACTATACTGTGTGTACTATTCTCAGCCTCAGGCTTGGTATGAGCTCAGTAACACACAACACTTGTCTAGCATGTACAACAGTAATGGACAGCCAGGAGTGCTGGCTCTGCAGTACTGCCTACTTACAAAAGAGCAGAGTTCAAGCCCCAGGACCAACGACAATAAAAGATACGCCCAGTGCTAGTTTGAAAATTTGCAACATGTTACTATTTTTGGAGGAGTCTGGTTTTGAACTCAAGACCTTGAGCTTACCTTACTAGGCAGGTGTTCTACCACTGAGTCATGCCTCTACCCCTTTTCTTAGATGGTCTTTTTGTTGTTAATTTTGCCAGCTCTGGGGTTTGAACTCAGGGCCTGAGCACGGTCCCTGAGCTTCTTTTGCTCAAGTCTAGCACTCTACCACTTGAGCCATAGCACCACTTCTGGCTTTTTCTGTTTATGTGGTACTGAGGAATCTAATCCAGGGCTTCATGCATGCTAGGCAAGCACTCTACCACTAAGCCACCTTCCTAGCCCTTAGATGGTCTTTTTGTGTGTGCTGCTCTCTGGGTTTTAAGTTAGGGCCTTGTGCCATCACTTGACTTTTCCGGCTCAAGGCTGGTGTTCTATCACTTGGCACTCTACCATACCTCCACTTCCATCTTTTTGCCTGGGTTGGCTTTGAGCCTCAGTCCCTAGACCTCAGTGTCGAGTAGCTAGGATTACAGGCATAAGCCACAAGCACCAGGAGAGCTGGTCATTTTTTTGTTGTTGTTGTTGGTTGTGGGGCTTGAACTCTGGGCTTGGGTGCTGTCCCTGTGCTCTTCAGCTCAAAGGCGAGCACTCTACTGCTGGAGTCACAGCGCTACTTCCGGTTTCCTGGTGATTTATTGGAGACAAGAGTATCACGGACTTTCGTGCCTGGGCTGGCTTTGCGCTGATCCTCAGATCTCAGCCTCCTGACTAGCTAGGATTACAGGCGTGAGCCACCAGTGCCCAGCGAGCTGGTCATTTTTGAGATAGGGCTTTGTTCTTTCCTGGAATATTCTTGGACCCTAATCTGTTTATTTTAGGATTCCCATTGTACCCAGGATAACAGGCACACACCCACCTTGAAGAGTCTTGAGAACTTCTTTACATAAACTGGCCTTGAACCACAATCCTTCCAATCTCAGCCTCCCAAATCACTAGGATGACAACTGTAATCCACTAGTGCTCAGCTAACACGTCATTCCTTTTCATCCAACAACCTAGACAATGTTCATTACTACCCTCATTTTGTTGATCACAGAGGGGAAAAAATAGGTACAGGTATGAGTCAAGTGGTAGAGTGCCACAGCAAGAGCACAGGCCCTGAGTTCAAGTCCAAATACTGAGGTATGTGCACACATGCCCGCACATACACAAGCAACCTAAAGGAATTCACATACCCTTCTGTATCCTCCATTAAGTGAAGCTAAGACTTAAACTCAGATCTGCCCTCAAAAGATCTTGCAGCTGGGGCTGGGAAGGTGGCTCAGTGGTAGATTGCTTGCCTTGCATGCCAGAGGCCCTGGGCTCAATTCCTCACCACAAAAACAGAAAAAGCCGAAGTGGTGCTGATGCTCAAGTGATAGAGTGCTAACCTTGAGCTGAAGAGCTGAGGCACAGCGCAGGCCCAGACCGACAAAAAATAAAAATAAAAAAAATCTTGAAACCGCAAACCTCAGTTTTCATAACTAAGCCTAGCCAAGCTTCCCAAGGAAGGCTGGCATAAAACAGCTCGACAGCCAACCAGAAACTAAGAGCAATCTTACAGTGATGTGTGTCCCCACATCAACCCTGGGACCCCCCACCCCAGATATGACCTTGGACTCCCTTGCAGCCATGTCCTCAGCAGAGCCAGGCCACCAGGACTGTACTGTGTTTCTAACACTCAGCTACTCCCTGCCAAATGGGTCCCTTTATAAACCTCACCTGTTTATAGAGCCACAACAGGGTGCAGACAACTGTGATATCAGCCAGTGTCACTCGTTCGCCCACCAGGAAAGTCCTTGTTTTCAGATGAGCATCCAGCAGCCCCAAAATTCGCCTCACCTCCTCCTTTGCATTCTCAGTGGCCTATGATTCAAAACAGTCAAACTTAATGGGTAGATTGTCTTCCTCATCTTCCTCCCACGAACATAATCAGACATATATCCACCCTGTTTCAATCAAGTCAAGATCATCTAGAATCACCTCAAATGTTATCCTGAATGAAGCTGTCTATACTAAATGCCTTTGTGGTGGGTCTGGCTTCATTTCCCACTACACTGAAAATAATAATAATGATAATAATAACTTATTGGAGTCTTAGAGCACATCTTCTCTAATGACTCAATTCCCATTGGGAGTATAACCTCAGCAGAAATGGTGCCTTGGACCATGCAAGACAAACCACTGTGTATGACAAAGCACCCAGATACCATCAGTAGTCTATTTACAGGCCAGAAATTGTGTCCTTTTCATCTCTCACATATTCTTGCTAGCTGGTCCTTGATCTATTTTCCCATTCCCCAAACACTCAGGAATTAATGCTGCCCCCAAGTTCCAAAGCTCACCTGTTTGTTATGGTGCATGATGCCTAAGGTGGGGAACACCCAGGTGCTGGCTGGGGGCACTATGTCACTATCAGCAAAGCTCACCCACTGCACCACCTGGGCTGCTGCCTCTGGAGTACCTCCCCGAAGCTCCTCATTGCTCACTGCAGAGGCAGAACACGCAGGTCAGAACCATGGGAGTCACGCCAGTTACCAAGCCAGGTCCATTGCAGTCCACCCTCACGCTCTCACCTCCGGCCCTCCCAATGCCAAATATCCCTGCAACAAATTACCATAGTAGGCGATGGCATTGCTCTCAAACACACAGAATCCATCATCACCCTCAAATGCTGGAACCTAGGAAAAAAGGAAAATAGTCATGTCTCAATGACCCAGGAAGTAAATGGTTTTTAGATTTTAAAAAATGACTGGGTATCCCTTGCAATCTGAATATCTGAACTAAGCAATTGGAACATTTGGCTGTTATGGGTTATCTGCATGAAACCCCTGAAAGACACTAAGTAGAAAGTCAGAAACTAGAACTCTTACATCTACACAAGATGTAAAATGTAAGACTTTACGCATAAGCTTCTAAATAAAATACAAGTTGTACATCTATACCTGTATCACTAACAAGAATTAGAGCACAACTCACATAGCAATGGGCCTTCTCTAATATTAGCCTCATAACTGTGGTTATTTACCTATCTCTAAATCCCTTGGGGGGAAATTCACTCTAATGAATAAGTAATAAGATACCTGAACTGGTAACATTTGGAACTGTACTGTTCCCCACGAATATAATTAAACCTGTGAATTTGGCAATTTGCTGAATAGCTCTGCATTACCTTTTGAAGAGCACTCTATAGTTATCTCAAAGTAAATAATTTCCTTTTGATTTCTGTGATTATGTGGTCCAGGGTAGCCATGAACCCTCAATTCTCCTGACTCAGCCATTCCAGTGATGGGATAACAGATGTGCACCATCACACCCAGATTTCCAGTTCTTTTCTTTGTATTTTTAAACCACGGAAATGTGGTTAAATAATTTGGAAAGCACCCTTTAAAAGATACAGCCTTCTACAGGGCAATGGAATCCTAGAGCGTTCTGGGTTCTCAGGATCAAAAACAACTGCCCCTCTCCACTTCCCTTACTCACCTTGCCAGCAGGAAATTTCCGGAGAAATTCAGGGGTGCGGTTGGTTTGGCCAAAGTGGAAGTGGGGTGGTGCGGAGAGTACACGGACCTGGGCCCCACTGTACTGAGCAGCAATGAGAGCCTTGAAGGCTCTCCAGTTTTCAGGATATGTGTACAGGGTCTATCAGAGAAAGGAGAAGTGGGGAGGATTATTGAGAAACTGGATTCCAAGTCCTAAAATCCACTCTATCCCATTTATTTATGCTGCTCCTTCTGGTCCAAGTTCCCTAGTTATTTGTCACATGTAATCAGAGTCCTCTGAAATACCAAGAACCGAATTACCTACCAACTGCTAAATAAAGCTTGCTGACAAATGTGACCTTCCCTAAGGACATCCTGGGAGGAAGCACTCTTCTTTCCCGTGTTATCTCCAAGAAATCCAGAGATGGTGATTCCCATAAGCCTCCTCCCCCATCTGCCCTCCCCCGCCAGAACCCTCGGTTTCATTCATTCACGGTGACCCCAGCGCCTAACAACTCACTCCCTCTACTGCTGAACTAAGCACGTTGAGAAAGCATCACCCGGACAGGAGACATTCCGGACGAGAGATTTCCCAAGTTCCCCTGAGAACTGCCACGTTAAAAGCGACTAGCATGTTCTCTTTCCAAATCAACGCCTCTTCCTAAGATTTAAAAATAAACTTCTTAAAGCCTCTTTCCTCGTGCAGCATTCCCTCATTCTCTGGTCCTGGCCGGCACCGGGCTCTCAACCGACTTCTCTGTGGGTCTCCACAGTGGGGTCCGGAGACGCAACTCGACCCCAAGCCTGGGCCGTGCCAGCCGTCCCGACCCCACACGGACACCCGCTCCTCGGTCCCCGTTCGCTGCCCCACAAAACGGTGGCCAAAGTTCCACCAAGAAGCCGAGACCCCACGGCTCCCAACGGCAGTGAAGCCGAGCCGCCTGGGTCAGCCTGCAGACGGCGCGGACGCGAGCATCTCTTTCTCCTCACATTCCACCTCTGCCCTCCGGGAGCTCCGCTCTCGGTCCCTCGCCCTGTCCCAGGAGGCCTGCTCCCCGACAGGATCCTCTGCAGACCCCGGGCCACCCCCCCAGCATGGCCCCCGACGTCCTCCGGCGCCGAACCGCCCCTGTCGGACAGAGGATGGCGGCGGATGAGACGAACCGAATCACCAGAGCCGATGAACTTACCCCAGCCGCCATGGTGATTCCGCAGAGAAAGGGGGTGGGGCTGTCGGTGCTGCCGCAAAGTGCGCCGCCAGGGAGAGGAGGGGGTAAGGGAGAGCCGTGGAGAGGCAGCAGCCGGAAAGCGAGGACGGCATAGAAGGCCCGCGCACGACAGTTCCGTATCCCAAGGCGCTGAATTGGAAAAAGAAAGGGGTGGGGCCTTGCCGTCCCGGGCAGTGCAGGCTCGTGCCTGCGCAGTAGGGCTCTTGTGTGGCCCGCCCCTCAAGTAGACCCGACCAATCGGAGTCCTGACAAGAAGCCCCGTGGGCTCGGTGGGCGTGGATAGTGTGAGAACCCGAAAAAAGGACGTGGCACAACCTCCAGTGAGGTCCGGACCCCCGGGTCGGACCCTGCACGTTTTCCCTGAAATGAGAGGCTACATGGTAGGTTCTGCCCAGTCCCTCTTACTATGACTGGGTAAAATACAGGAGAAACTAATACTGCACGGGGGTGGCCGTTCACTCAACTTTTATTCCCGCTCAGGTTATTCTGTGGAAGGATGAACATCTTAACGGGGCCCTAAGTCTGCAAGATAGGTTTGCTCGGATTAAACCACATTGCAGCTCCAGGATGCCATTCCTGCTATCAGAAAGGGCTCCGGGCGCTGGTGGCTCACGCCTGTCATCCTAGCTACTCAGGAGCTGAGATCAAGGATCGCTGTTCAAAAAAATCCATCCGGGGCAGCAAAGTCCAGTCTGTGAGACTCTTATCTCCAATAGACCACCAGAAAACCCAAAGTGGGGCTGTGGCTCAAAGTGGTAGAGCGCTGGCTTTGGGCTGAAGAGCTCAGGGACAGCGTCCAAGCCTCATGACTGACCAGAGAGAGGGGAGGAGAAAGGACGTTCACTTCAGCCACCTCCTGGAGGATAGGCTCTGTCGGGAAATCCTGGTCTTGATGGGCTGCTTTGAACCTACTTTCAAGTTTGAAAGTTTCTTATCCAATTAAAGAACTGGATGAACTGTTAAGAATGGTTGATGCTGTCACCGGTGGCTCCTGCCTGGAATCCTAGCTACTCAGAAGCCTGAGATCTGAGGATTGAAGCCAGCCTGGGAAGCAAAGGCTGTGAGACTCTTAACCTGCAATCATCCAAAAGCCAGAAGTGGAGCTGTGGCTCAAGTGGTTGGGCCAAAAAGCTCAAGGACAGTGCCCTGAATTCAAGCCCCAGAACCAGTACAAGAAGGGGGGGGGGGGGAGAAGAACAAGAGAAGTATAATATTAAACTAGCAGCTTTATTATTCTCCTAGGGTCCAAATCCTCTACTTGAGGAGATTTCGAAGGGCTTGAGGGAGAAAAACCTGTAAAAAGTGATGGAGATCAGGGAACAAGCCTTGAGAGTCCTGGAGCGGGGTCACAGTGAGAGTCTGCTCAGCCTGTGAGGCGGATGCCACGAAGGTCAGAAGAGGCTCGGTGTCTGGCGTCTGTTCAGCAGCATTTGTTTCTCTCAGTTCCTGGGTTACCTGAGCCTCCATGGCTAGCCACTCTGCTCCCGAGATGGCCTTGTTTCCATCTCCTGTTTTGCTTTGTTGCTGCAACCGTCTCCGGGCACGCCGCCGCCCCTGCCACACTCGGTGCCACAAAGCACAGCGCCAACTCACTAAGGTGGGGTATGATGCCCCCTTTCCAGGCTCACCTTGAGACCCATCTCCAGCCATCTCAGGTGCCATGGGCCTCTGCTCAGTAAGTGTGTCTAGACAGTTTGTGGTCATGATGGGCAGCTCACCTGACTGCCCAGGGCTCCGCATGGCCCAGTCCTGCGGCACCTCTCCAGCCTCTATAACCATTTCTTCCACCCTGTCTTCACCATGGTCTTCCTCATATCCCTGCTGCTCCTCTTTCCCCTCCTCACTGTTCTTTCTTTGTCCATCTAGTTTCAATCTCTTGCTTGTCCCTCCCTGGGGAGACTCAGTTCTACCTCCTTCGGACCGTGGCCTCTTGGTTCCCTGTTCTATATGGCATCCCAGTGCTTCCCTTAACACGCGGACCAGGACATCAGTGAGCTGGGGGAAGGGAGCAGGGGGAAAGGGGATGGGTGTGGCAGACAGCAGGGAGCTGGGAGAACTGGGCTGCAGAAGGGGGAGAAGCCCCCAATCCCGACCCCGGGAGGATCGCTGCTGGTACTGGAGGCTTCGGCAGTAATTGGCTGCTGCTCGGCAGCAGTTCTGGAGCCGCCCGGCCACCCGGCTGGTCACATTGGCTGCAACATTGTGACTCAGGTCAAAGGGGTCCTGGAGATTCATGGGGCCAAGGCGCAGACCCTCCCAGAGATTAGAGGGCACCTCTGCCACCGGCAAAGCCTGGCCTTCCCTCAGGGATAGCAGTGAGTCACGAAGATCCCAGGAAGAGACACAGGAGAAGAACTGGGCCAGCAGGGAACCTGGAAGAAGAAACAGACTGAGGAAAGGGGATCACCATGAGGTGAGGACTGAGGCAGGTCCTGCACCAAAGACATTTCCTTAACAGTCACTTGGCAGGAACGTCCTTCCTTGGAGAGACTTCTTTCTTCCCAAGAGGCTCAGAAGAGTCCTAAGAAACCAGGCTTCTGATTCTCTTAAAAAAGAGATCAAGCCTCCTGCCCTGCATCCCCAGATACTGCTCCTTGCCTGTGCTAGCGGCATAAACCTTGGTCAAGCCACATAACTCCTCCAAGGCACAGTTTCTTCAATGCCACAGGACCAGCATCTGGTGTGTTACCCACTGCGATGACCAATGTCTTCCCACCACTGATGGATCACAGTTTGAGCTAGCCCAGGCAGAAAAGTCTTCTATCACCAATTAACCAGCAATAAAGCTGGAAGTGGAAGTGTGATTCAAGTGGTAGAGCACCAGCCTTGAGTGAAAAAGCCATGTGAGGGGAGAAGCCCATTCCAGACCAAAAGAAAGGGACCAAAAAAACCAAAAAAGCATAATCACTAGTTTTCTACCACTCACTGAGGGGCTCCACATTCATGCTGGGCTCCAGTCTTGAGGCATCCCTGGGGAAACTACAGTCCCAGCCATCCACTTCTACCTGTTCTCCCTCACCTGTGAAAGTAAAATGGAGGGAGTTAGCTTTGAAGCAGGAAGATGAGGGCACTGAGGGGTGAAATGGGGTGACAGCAGAGCTCTCATTGTGCATAGCGTGATATATCTGATGAGATAGCACAGGGACTGCCTGCAGTACCTGCTTTCTGGGTGAGCTGAGCCACAGCGGGCAACACAGGAGGGTCCCTGGTCTGAAGGAAGTAGATCACCAGCAAAGTCAAGGTGTAGTTATTGAGAAGGGGGCCACTTCCTGGGTAAATAACCAAGAATTCCAATTAGGGGCAAGAGACATGGCTCAAGTGATGAGTACCTATCTAAAAGGCTGAAGCACTAAGTTCAAACCCCACTATGACCAAAAAAGAGGTGCTTCCATACCCTTGGTAATTTTCTTGACTCTGGTTCCTGTACCCACCTCCCTTCTCTCCCTGAATAGGGAGTCAGGGTGAAATATGCCTTTGTGCAGGCCAAATCTGTTCTTTCTCACCTGAAAGCCCTCGACCCTGAGCCCAGCAGCGGATGGTGTACACAAGGGGTCGCACTCGCCTATCCAGCTCACAGCAGAGACTCAGGAACCGAGAGTTATGCAGGGCTAGCCTAGAACAAAGGAAAAAAGAGAGTATTAGGTTTAGTAAATCTTAGACTCTATCACCTCACTAGCTCCCATTCCAGACTTCATCCCAGCTGGAGTTAGGCCAACACGGCTTCCCAAAGGTGCTAAACAATGATCTTGTGAGAGGGTATACAAAAGAAGAAAAGACAGCCAGGGAGATGGATCAGACTATTCAGGACACCTGGAGGTGGCTCAATTGATAAAGCACCCACCTAGCAAATACAACACCCTCAGGTTCAAACACCAGCAATGCCTCGATAGATTCACAGATGGGTAGATAAGACTGTTGCGATATGCAAAGACTTAAAAGACAAGCCGGGTGCTGATGGCTCACACCTATAATCCTAGCTACTCAGGAGGCTGAGACATGAGAATCGCAGTTCAAAGCCAGCTAGGGCAGAAAAGTTCCCATGAGCCTATTATCTCCAAATAACCACTCAAAAACTGAAAGTAGTGCTATAGCTCAAAGTAGTAGAGCACTAGCCTTGAGCACAAAGAGGCCCAGGGACAGCACTCAGGCCCCACGTTCAAGCCTCACAACCAACAGAAGAAGAAAAAGAAGAAAAAAAAAGACAAGAGAAGGAAAAAGGGAGAAAGAGAAAGGGAAAGCAATGGAAGAGGATGGGGAATCTACCTATTAACATTTCCCAAATTCAAGTAACTACAGACTCTCTTCTATATCCCTTAAAAAATATTATTACAGGGGCTGGGAAGGTGGCTCAGTGGTAAGAGTGCTTGCCTTGCATGCCTGAGGCCCTGGGTTCAATTCCTCAGTACCACATAAGCAAAAAAGAAAAAAGCCAGAAGTAGCGCTGTGGCTCAAGTGGTAGAGCCCTAGCCTTGAGCTGAAGAGCTGAGGGATAATGCCCAGGCCCAGAGTTCAGGTCCCATGACCGGACCCAAAAAAAAAAAAAAATTATTACAGCTGGGCATTGATGTCTCACACCTGTAACCCAAGCTACTTAGGAAGCTGAGATCAGAGGATCAAGATTCAAACCCAGCCAGAGCAGAAAATTCCATGGGATTTTTATCTCCTCTAAACTACCAAAAAAATAATAATAATACTGAAGCAGAGCTTATAGCTTAAGTTAAAAAAAAAAAAAAAACTTAGGGAGACAGCACCCAGGCCTGAGTTCAACCCCCAGCACTGGCAAAAAAAAAAAAAAAAAAGTATTATGTAGCCAGGTATGGTGGCATACACCTGCTAATCCAGCACTCAGAGAGACAGACAGGCAGGAAGATCTCAAGTTTGAAGACAGTGTGGACTATACAGTGAGTTCCTGGCCAACTTGAATTGCATAGAAAAATGTACTCCAAGAAACCCACATAACAAACACCAAAACAGCCACACAGGAGGTAAAAGTGCACAAAAGATGGAAGCAACAGTACAAATGATTCAGCAAGCACAGGAGCTGAAGCAGAACTCTCATCCACCCTGAAACACTCAGCTGGCCTTCCCCAACCATTCCCCCCCAAATAAAGGTACCGGTTACTGAGGGAGATGTCACCATGGAGACCTGAAGGCCGATGGCAGAACTTGACCACAGGGCGCCGGGCAGAGGGCACAGTCTGTACCCGATACACACCAGGGACACAGCCACGGAGAATGGATCCCACCAGCTCCAGCATTGCTGCTCCCTCGGGCTTCTCTTTCAGCGCCTCTGCTTGTTCCTGGGCGTTTCCCAGGTCTCCCTCTCCCCTATCCTCCTGGATTGGTGAGGCTGGAGGAAGGGACTGGGGAGAGGCGACAGTCTCAGAGGCCAAAGCAGAGTCTGGAGTCTGGGGTGCCAAGGAGGAGGAAGGAATTTCCAAGTCCAATGCTTCAGAATCTTGGGGAGAAGCTGGAGGCTGGGAGTCTAGAGGAGAGGCTGGGGTACAAGCCAGGGTTTGAGGATCCAGTGGCGAAGCAAGGGCTGAGTCCAAGGATGGAGACTCGGGAGCCTTCGAGGCTAGCTGTGGATGGAAAGGAAGTGAGTGACTGCTTCTCCTGCTGCCCCCTACTTTGGAGCGTGGTAGAGCACTAGCCTTGAGCTGAAGAGCTGAGGGACAGCGCCCAGGCCCCACGACCGACAAAAAACAAAACCAAACCATACTGCTATTGTACTAGAGGTATGGCCCAAGTAGTATAATACCAACCTAGCAAGCACCAGGCCAAGTTCAAACCCTAGTAACACACATACGTATAAGCATACACGCATACACACACACAATTTATTTAAAAATATAACCACAACATTTTATGTAAAACCCCAACTTTATAAGGTTATTACTCCTTGAAAATTCTATCAGAGCTGTCATCCATCTACGCCAATTCATTTTCAGCCTAATACCAGTCCTCATTCACACTTTTTTTTTTGGGTCCGGTCATGGGGCCTGAACTCTGAGCCTGGGTGCTGTCCCTCAGCTCTTCAGCTCAAGGCTAGCACTCTTAACACTTGAGCCACAGTGCCACTTCTGCCTTTTATCAAACCCAGGGCCTCAGGCATGCAAGGCAAGCACTCTACCACTGGGCCACCTTCCCAGCCCTCACATTTTTTTTTTTTTTGGTTGGTTGTAGGGCTTGAACTCTGGGCCTGTGTGCTGTCCCTGAGCTCTTTCAGCTCAAGGCAAGTGCTCTACCATCTGAGCCACAGCGCCACTTCCAGTTTTCTGGTGCTTAATTGGAGATGAGTCTGGAGGACTTTACGGCCTGGGCTGGCTTTGAACTTCAATACTCAGATCTCAGCCTCCTGAGTAGCTAGGATTACAGGCATGAGCCACCAGCACCCAGCCTCATTTACATTTCTTTTGGCTATACTGAAGTTTAAACTCAGAGCTCATGCTTGCTACTACTGCCAAGCTATGCTGCTGGCCCTATTTTGTTCCTTTTTTTATTAACCAGGACTTGAGTTTGGACTCAAAACTTTGCACTTGCTCAGCTTGCTTGGCTGACAGTTTATCACTTGAGTCACATCTGTAGCCTATTTGGGGGCGGGGAGAGGGGAGGGGAGGCGGGTAAGGATGCACTGGTTATTTTGGAGATGGAATCTTACGGAAACATTGCCCAGGATGGCTTTGAACTGCAATATTTTGAAACCCAGCCACCTGAGTAGCTGGAATTACAGGCATGAGTCACTGGTACCTGCCTACTTTGGGTTAGCCTACTTTGGATTTCCCAAGGTAGCTAGATAATAGGCATATGCCTTGCTGAGATGGAGTCTCCTCCACAGATGTGTTCTGCCCTGGGGCTGGAACAACAACCCTCCCTGTCTCAGCCTTCCACACAGCTTGGATCACTGGCATACACCACCCAACCCAATAATGGGTCGAAAAGAAATCTTGAACATTTTGCCAGGCTGGCTTCAAACTCATCTCCTCTGGATCTCAGCCTCTCAAGTAGCTTAATGCCATGATTAAGCTACAATCCCATGACCTTTCTCCAGGGACCTCCCTGGGCACTCACCTGAGGTTCTTCCATATCACCTAGATCCAAGAAGAGGTCAAGATCACACCCATGGACATCAAAGCTATTTATGGAAGAGCCAAAAGGATGGACCACACAACCTAAGGACCAAGCAGAGAACAAAGGTCAGGAGACATTAGAGAGGAACTGGAGGTGCAAGAACATAATGGGGTACAGTGATGAAAGAGCAACTGAATGAATACCTCCAGTTGAGGGAAGCTGGGATGCAGACATGGAGATTCAGACACAGGGCAAGGCGTCTACTTACCTGGGAAGAACTCTGTGAAGACCTCTTGCATCAGGGCCACTACGAGGTTCCGCAGCTGCCGCTCAGCCTCAGACAACTCCCTCAGTCCCACAAGCTGCACCATTTGGGCCTCCACATCTGGGGCTTCGGCTAATGCTTTGGCAAGCTGGTGACTATCAGGGCTCACTCCTTTGGGGGACTTGGCAGCTGGGCTCTGGAACTCCTTCTGCTCCCGAGGCCGGACACGAAGACGATGTTTTCCCAGGCTATGCTGGGGCTGTGACAAGACAGCCTCCCGAGCACTGACATCCCCCATCTCCACAATGGCAAACACACCCTGGCAGACCACACAGGAGAGAGGATGATGGTTTTGCAACCAAGAATCCAAGCACAGGGTCTGACAGCAGAAGAGAGTATCTCTTTTGTGTGTGTGCTGGTACTGGGGCTGGAACTCAGAGCCTCTTGCTTTCACTTGGCTGTTTTGCTCAAGGCTGGTGTTTTACCACTTGAGCCACACCTCCACTTTTGGATTTTCTGCTGGTTAATTGCACAAAAGAGTCTCACAGACTTTTCTCTCAAGGATGGCTTCAAACCACAACCCTTAGATCTCAATCTCCTGAGTAGCTAGGATTACAGGTGTGAGCCACCAGCACCTGACAGTATGTTCTTTTTCCTTTTTTTCAGTCCTGGGGCTTGAACTCAGGGCCAGGGTGCTATCCTTGAGCTCTTTTTCAGTTTTTTTCTAGTGGTTTATTGGAGATAAGAGTCTCACGGACTTTCCTGTCCCGGCTGGCTTTGAACCAAGATCCTCAGATCTCAGCCTCCTGAGTAGCTAGGATTACAGGCATAAGCCACCGGTGCCCGGCTTTCCTTGAGCTCTTTTGCTCAAGGTTAGCCCTCTACCACTTGAGCCATAGTGCCACTTCTGTTTTTAAGTGATTAACTGGAGATAAGAGTTTCATGGGAGTCAGGTGCCCGTGGCTCATGCCTGTAATCCTAGCTACTCAGGAGGCTGAGATCTGAGGATCGAGGTTCAAAGCCAGCCCGGGCAAGAGAGTGGGCCTGAACTCTGGGCCTGTGCACTGTCCCTCAACTCTTCAGCTCAAGGCTAGCACTCTACCACTTGAGAGCCACAGCACCACTTCTGGCTTTTTCTGCTTATGTGGTGCTGAGGAATCGAACCCAGAGCCTCATGCATGCAAGGCAAGAACTCTACCACTGAGCCACCTTCCCAGCCCCTAACAGTATGTTCTTTAAACACCAGCTTTCACTACAATTACTGACTTGTCTACTTTCTCCTCTAGACTATAAACTCCATGCAAGCAGGGACTGCATCTATCTATACGTTCCCCACTCTGAATGCAATCTTAAGCAAAGTGCTTAGCACTAAGTCAACAAATGGTAAGGATGTGGTGAGCAAATCAAAAGTACACTGAGTTGAGTGCTGATGGCTCACACTTGTAATCCTAGCTACTCAGGAGGTTGGAATCTGAGGATAGTGGCTTGAAACCAGCCCAGGAAGGAAAAGACTCTTATCTCCAATTAACTACAAATGCTTAAAGCAGAGCTGTGGCTTAAGTGGTAAAACACTAGTCTTAAGCACAAAAGCTCAGGGACAGGGCCAAGGTCCTGAGCTGAAGCCCCAGGACAGGCACCAAACAAAAAAAACAAAGCACACTGAATCTTTGACAAAAAAGTCCCCCAATAACTAACCAGTGAACACGTAAAAGGGGGTGGGGAAGGTGTGAGACGTTCTCTCACGTTCTGTGGTATCCACCAAGCACAGGCCATATTAGCAAACAGCCACAAGAGACTGCTGGTTTCTCCCCTTCCCCCTCCCCCTCCTCCCTCTCTCCTCTGTTCCCTTACTTTCCCCCAATCTCTTCCTTCTCCACCCCCCACCCATGCATCTTGGCTGACTCACTCTTACTCCTGGAGACATTCACTCTACCTTGTCCTTATCCATGACAACACTGGCCACAGGTCCAAATGTCTGGAAGTACTCAGAGAGCTGAGCAGAGTCCACATCCCTGGGGAAACCACTGACAAATACACTCCGAAGTCCCTGGGCCTTTCTGGCAGCTCGCAGTTCAACCAGATGTCGGTGCTTCCTGCCTCCCAAGTGAGCATCCAGGCTGGGTCCTGAAGGGACAAGGATGAGACAAAAACATCTGTGTTATTCTTCAGTGTATCTCTTCCCTGGCTCTATTCTCTGCATACCTACATCCTACTGATCATCCTAATCTTCCAAGACATAGCAAGTGTGACACATAGAATAATCAAAGACCTTACTCCTTCCACATTTGACATGACTCCCATTTCTCTATATGATTTTTTTTTTTTTTTTTTGGTGCAGATCCTGGGTCTCAAACAGAGGACTTGGACTTTCCTGCCCAGGCTGGCTTCAAACTACAATACTCAGGTCTCGGCCTGAATAGCTAGGATTACAGGAGAGAGCCACTAGCACCCAGCGTTTTGTTTTGTTTTGTTTTTTCCTTGCCAGTATCAGAGCTTCAACTCGGCGCCTTTCACTCTTGCTGGTGCTCTATCAATTGAACCATACCTCCACTCCTGGATATTTTTGTGTGTGTGTGAGAGAGAGAGAGAAAGGAGTCTCGTGGACTTTCCATCCTAGGTTGGCTTTGAACCACCATCCTCAGATCTTAACCTCCTGAGTAGCTAGAGTTATAGTGTGAGCCACAGCACCAAGTTCTACTTCTGGCTTTTTTCCTGGCTAAAGTCTCTCAGTTTTGTCTCAGCCACCGGCACATAGTTTTTGTTTTGTTTTGTTCGGTACACACAAGCATGTGCATGTATATACATACAAGTGTGAGCCACCAGCATCTGGCAAATAAGTAGTGCTTAAACCACATGTACTAGGTAAAGCAGCAAGACCTGTGAGTTATAAAGAAATTAATAAGTAACTTTTCCAGGTCCTATAGAAAAGAATTAAATCAGGGCTGTGGTATATAATGATCCAAAATGTATCAGTTTCCTCAGCTGGAGGTGGTAATAGTGTCTACCACATAGGTCCCTTGTAGAGAACCCAGTACCTGGTCAATGTAGACAATTTAGCTGTTAGATTTCTTTTTTTTTTAATTTGTCAGTCGTGGGGCTTGAACTCTGGACAATGTCTCTGAGCTCTTCAGCTCTTCATGGCTACCACTTGAGCCAGAGTACCATGTCTGGTTTTCTGATGGTTTATTGGAGATAAGAATCTCACAGACTTCCTGCCCAGTTTGGCTTTGAACAACGATCCTCTTATCTCAGACGCCTTAGTAGCTAGGATTATATGTGTGAGCCACTGGCACCCGGCTAGAATTATTTTTATTATCAATCACCTGCTTGATGTTACCAAAGTGTTTGTGGAACCAAGGAAGATCACTTAATTTCTGGCTTGCACTGCTGGACAAATAGTGGCAGTGCCAACTTTCAAAAGAAAGTGAAGGCCTTGCTCATGGAAGATCAGTATTCCGATTTCAAAAGCAGAATCTGTTGGATGCTGGTAGTTCATGCTTGTAATCCTAGTTACTCAGAAGGCTTAGATGTGAAGACTGAGGTTCAAAATCAACTGGGACAGGAAAGTCCATGAGATTCTTACTGCCAATTCATCACCAAAAAGAGGGAAGTGAGGTTATGGCTCAAGAGGTACAGTCTTGAGTGAAAAAACTAAGGTACAGCACCCAGGCCCTGAGTTCAAGCCTTAATACTGGCAACAACAACAAAGAGAAATCTGGTTGGTTGTGCTTGTAATCCTAGTTACTTGGGGGAAGCCAAGATCTGGAGGACTGTGGTTCAAAGCCAGCTGGAGCAGAAAAGCCTGTGAGACTTGTCCCCCCCTAAAAAAATAGCTAGTTTCCAGACTGAAAACAAATGGCAGAGTGCCAGCTAGGTAAGCTAAGCAAGAGTCCAAGGCCTTTGCTGGGCCTTTGCAAGGCCTGTGGCTCATGCCTGTCATCCTGGGTACTCAGGAGGCTGAGATCTGACAATCACGGTTCAAAGCCAGCCTGGGCAGGAAAGTCTGTGAGTCTCTTATTTCCAATTAACAACCAGAAAACCTCAGGGTCAGCGCCCAGGCCCAGAGTTCAAGCCCCACAACCTACCAAAAAGAAAAAGAGCGCAAGGCCTTCATGCTGGTAGAAGGAAAAAAAAAAAAACTAAAATCTGAGGTTTCATTGAGCCTCTTGTCATGCAAGCGCCTGGTCTATGTTGTTTTTTTTCCCTTCTCCCTCTTCCTCAGTTAACTTCTCCAGTCATTCATGCCATGCTGTTTCACCCATCTTGCTCTCAGGAGGTTCTCTGTAGTGGTTCTCAGACTTACTATCTTCTGTCTGATACCACAGCTCTCTATCTCTAAACTCCTATACTAGAGGCCATAGCAGATATCCAATAGACATTGGCTGAATGGGGAATAAAGCGGCTGGGTGGCGATGGCTATAATCCTGGCTACTCAGGAGGTTGAGCTCTGAGGATCTAGGTTCAAAACCAGCCTAGGCAGGAAACTCCATGAGATTCTTATTTCCCATTAACCACCCAAAAGGCAGACGTGGAGCTGTGGCTCAAGTTGTTAAAGCTATTAGCCTTGAGTGGAAAAAAGGGAACAATGCTCAGGCCCTGGGTCCAAGCTCCAGAACCGGCACACCCACACACAAAAGACAGGGGTGGTGAGAATAAAGCAACGAGGCTTTCCTCGTGGAGAATGCGGATCCTGCGAAGGGCAGGTGCGCGGTGGCACGCTTCGTCGCCTTCTGCAAGGCCGTCCGCCGTGCGGAGCGACTCCACGACTGCTACCAGCATCTCGAACCCCAACTTTCGCTGGCCCCCGAAGGCGGGAGCCTGCCACCGCCCCCTCCCTCGCGGGCCACCGCTTACGGTTGGCTGTGGTAACCTGGCAGAGGCTGCAGCGGAAGCCCCCGCGCGGCAGCGCCTCCACATCCGAGCCCACCGCCGCCATAGCCTCCGGCCGCAAGCAACCACCTCCGGCACCGCCGGAACTCACGGCGGCAACTCGCAACCAGCTTGGAAGCCAGTTCCGGCGGTCTCACAGGAAGTGACGTACGGTGCCACCACCACACGAGCCTTCGGAAACCTAGCTCGTCAGACCCGAGTTCCGTTTCTAGCCGTCCAAAGGTTCAGGGAAGCCGGGGCGCCGGTGGCTTACGCCTGGGAACTTAGCTCCTCAGGAAACCAAGATGTGAGGATCGCGGTTCGAGCCAACGCGGGCAGAAGAATCCCCGAGAGGCCCTTATCTCCAATTAACCATTCAAAAGCTCCTGGCGCTGTGGCTCAAAGTGGTGGAGTGCTAGCCTTGGGCAAAAGAGCTCAGGCCGGGCGCCGGTGGCTCACGCCTGTAATCCTAGCTACTCAGGAGGCTGAGATCTGAGATCGCGGTTCAAAGCCAGCCCGGGCAAGAAAGACCGTGAGACTCTTATCTCCGATAAACCACTAGAAAACCGGAAGTGGCGCTGTGGCTCAAGTGGTAGAGCGCTCACCTTGAGCTGAAGAGCCGAGGGACAGCGCCCAGGCCCAGAGTTCAAGCCCCACGACCGACACAAAAAAAAGGCGTACGAGCCTACCATAAATCGATCGACGTGTTCGGAGCTATTCCAGGGCTGGCCTGGAATCTCATGAATATTCATAAGGCAGACACAAAGGCTGGCGCTGGGTGGCGTCTGGAACCACGGCCGGCCGCACACCGCGGCGCGGAGGCTCCCACCGCCACACGTTCCTTCTCCAGATCGCGGGTAAGACAGAAGATGGGCAGCTTCAAATCTTTTTACCCACAGAGGCCAGGCCACCCTCATTCGTTTCTTCTACGAACCTGCCCTCCCAAAGTGTCCGTGGCCGCTTGGTCACTCCCACAGCAGAGGGAGGCCCTCCTCCCGCGCCCCAAGTCAAACCGCTATGGCGAGCTACAGGAAAATCCACTTTAAAACAGTGAGATGGAACCCACTATGGTGATAGCTAACATGAAGACTTCGGAGGGATGAAGGGTTTGAGGTAGACCAGACTTGTATGGCCGTCCAGTTGCTTCTGACACTACCCAGATGTAGGTGCCAAACTGGGAGAGGGTAGGAGAGCTAGGGAGCCCCGGGGACAAGGATCATGAGAGGGAAAAGGGATTATAAAACAGGTTATCTGCCCACAGCTTTGAGTCATTTAAAGGGCAGAGGTCTTGGGCAAGAGGCAGAAAACCAGTCGTGACCTTGAGTAAACATAACTAAGGAGACCATTCTGTCTCTAAAGCATCCAAAGGACAGAGTAGGCTTAACTTCTTGTTCTGTATCCTAAGGTATTTCTGTCTCAGCTCAGGCATCTGTTTTCCAAAGCTGACAAGGCAGAACACACCACTGCCCACCTCACCATGGAGGAGGCAGTGGCTGAGGCTGAGTCTTGAGAACTTTGAAACAGCAGTCAGTGTCCATATACTAGAGCTGGATGGTAAGATCCTGCTGTGTACAACCCCCTACACACACACACACAAAGCTCTCAATGACTATACATTACCCCTGCTGCTAATGCTTTCCACAATTGCTTAAAAGGGAGCGGGTAGGGCTGGGAATGTCACTCACTTGTAGCATACTTGCCTAGTATGTGCAAGGTCCTGGGCTAGATTCCCTAGCAGAGGGGAAAAAGCTAGGAAACAAGTTTGAAGCACCCTCACACCTCCATCCTGAGGCCTACAGCCATTAGTGCTTTGGATGAATCTGGGCTGAGCCTGGACTCCAGTACCACTGGGAACTGGTGGCAGTTTTGAGTCCCACAACTGGCACAAGCTGCCTCAGACCAGACTGCCTATCTCATAAAGCTGTTCCCCAGGACAAGCACCATCTGTACCTCATTTAAATTGTCCTTTGTCCTTTATTTTCCTACTCAACAGCACCCCAACACACATACACACATCCATGGGAGAGAAGAGCTGAGCCAAGGAGGAGCCAAAGAAACCAGCTTTTTATTTGTTACTATAAGAACCAATTACAGAATCCGAGGTTAAAAAACGGACAAAAGTTCTTTATTTCTGAGAATTGGCGTACAAAAGGCGGAGGGGGGCAGGGGAGGGAAGCAAGAGCGAGCATGGGCTGGGGCTGATGCCAGCTTAGGGGCCTCATACTCCAATTAGGAAAGTCCGGACACCGGACAGGAAAAGAAACTCCTAATTAGAAAAAAAGAAAGAAAGAAAGAAAAAAAAAGATAGACTTGGCAGTGCACGCCCCCCCCTCCCCCAACCAGGTACCACCACCTGATGTTTACTCTTTCCCCTCCCCCATCCCTTTCACAAAGGGAGGCAAAATTTTTAAAAAATTAAAAAACCCTCCCCCAAAAACTGTCCAAGACAACTGTGGGACCTACCCCAGAAAAGGGGTTGAGTGCCCACATGGGCCAAGTTCCTGCAGGCTGCCCTCCATCATAAGAATGGAGAAGCAAAGACCAGTCACAAAGGCATTACCACCAGAGGGCGCCCAACCCCTCCAGGGACACACTTGCAGCCTTCCCTTACTTGCCCCTTTACTAAAGGGAAGGGAGGTCTGGGTGCCCCAGGTACCCTCTACCTCTCCGCCCACCAACCTCCCTTGCCCACAGATGCTCAGTCCTCCAGGACAATAGGTTCATTGGTGCTGGCAGGATGTGAAACTGCCGGTAGAGGGACTGGGGGCCGCACTGCAATCAGTGTTGGCTTCACCTTCAAGGGTAAGTTGGGCCTCCGGGCAGCTCGCCGCATTTCCAGATGGGTTAGAGCCTTCCGTAGGGCCCTGGCCAGGAAAGGGCAAAAGATGAATAGAAAAGGTTTGATGAACACTGAGACCCACAGGTGAAACTATATTCTATAATGTAATTCTGACTTCTGACCCCACGTTTTGTTTTTTTTTTTGCCAGTCTTGGGGCTTGAACTCAGGGCCTGGACATTGTCTCTGATTTTCTTTTGCTCGAGGCTAACACTCTACCACTTAAGCCCCAGAGCCACTTTTGGCTTTTTCTGTTTATGTGGTATTGAGGAATCAAACCCGGGGCTTCATGTATGTTAGGTAAACATTCTACCACTAAGACACCTTTACAGCCCCCCCTTTTTTTTTTAATTTTTTGGCCAGTCTTGGGGCTTGAACTCAGGGCCTGAGCACTGTCCCCAAACTTTTTGCTCAAGAATACTTTACCACTTGAGCCAAAGTTCTACTTCTAGTTGTTTTTAGTGCTTAACTGGAGATAAGTCTCATGGACTTTCCCACCCAGGCTGGCTTCGAACCTCAATCCTCAGATCTCAGCCTCCTTAGTAGCTAGGATTATAGGTGTAGGCCACTGGCATCCGGCTAGCCCCACTTTCTTTTTTTTTT